CTGGATACAAACCAGAGCAGAATGGTAGGATATACACATATACTATGAGATTTGTCATGGGTCCTGGGCTTCTCCAAGGATGACTTTGAACTTTGAACAACAACAACAAAAGATTCTCTTTTTTTTTGGCCACCAATTTCAGTCTTAACAACATTCACAGGAAGACTGGCAGGAGATCACAACTTCAATTGAACCTAAAGCTCCTATCATACTTTCTCTCTATTCTGGCCCTCACTTTCACTCTATTTTCTTTAATTTTTTCCCCTATAGCACTTATTACCTTCTACAGAACTTATTTATCTCCTACCTCTAAAATATAAGGTACAAGGTACATGAAGACATGGATTTTTGTCTTTTTTTTATTTACTAATGTATTTCCAGTGCCTAAATAGTGCCTGGCAAACAAATAGATGACATGCAGAAATTTTTATTGAATGAACAAATAAATGCTATAATCTAAGATACTATTATGTAGGGGAATGTTGGCTATCTCAGGTGTTTTCTTTCACTGAAAGAAGTATCATTAATGTCTATAGCCACTGAAAAACTGAGACTGAAATGATAAATGTTCTGCCATCCATTAATTATAGGACTAAATTGGCTATTAATTTTGAGCCGGAATCCATGAATATGTTGCATTTTCATTTTGCACTGGTCCTTTGCTGGCCCTGGTGATGAGAGTGGAATGATTTGAAAGACTGTATTTGGGAGTAAAACCACATTGAATTGAGATTCATAAAATCAGTGTTCAAATGTTGACCTGTCACTGATCATATGGCCCAGGAGAAGCCAATTAAATTTCCCTTAGTGTCTCAATCTGTAATAAGGATAGACCAGATGACTAGTTTACCTGAGGTAAAATAGTCTGTTAAAGATGTAAGAGGGCAGTAATAGAGTAAAATAGAGTTATATTCCACATTTTAAAAAAAATAAGATAGGTTGTATTCTGTGTGGATACAGCCTATATAAAGCAAAGAAAACTGAATGTCTTTGCATATAGTACTGATACAGTATACTGTATAAAATAACAGTATACTGATACTGCAATTTTCAGACTGATCATTCTTCATATGTAATGAGAATAATTGGTAATACTATAACTTTATAGATGTCAGTGGTTAAAGTCAAAAATATAGTCTGAAGTGGCCCTTCCAGCTCTATTCCCGCCATTACCCAAGCAGGTCCAATAGGTTAAAATAAGTCTGATGTATCTCCATTTACTTAAAATAGTGGTTCTCAATTCCTAGGTTCTAATCATTCATTACTGTGCTCTCAAACTTTAATCAATAGATAATAAAAATGATTGTTACATGTGAGAATGCACACTTCGAGGCTTATCAAAAGGATCCTTCAGATGACTGAGTCATCTGACAATGAGTGGGGTTAAACTTGCAGCAAATTAAAAAGGGCAAAGTGAGATGCCAAACTTGAGTCAACAATTTTATGTTTCCTGGAACATGCAAGGCAAAGCCCAACATGAAGGCAGAGCTATTTCTGTTTTTCTGTTTGTTTGTTTGCTTTTATTATTGTTTATGATTTATCTCCCATGTTTATCAGAGTGTTGCTTCATAGTAAGTTTTCGATAAATATTTGTTGAATGCATAAATATTTAAGAGAGTGTATAATCAAAAAATAGTACTCAGGTAGAAGAAATAAAGGGCTGACAGGCAACAACTTAAATAGTAAAAAGTGGATGTTTTTTATAGAAACTCAGTTATATTTAATATTAGTTATTGTGTTGCAATTATTGTGGTCTTGTATAGTTTTAGTTAGACTATTTTATTTAAAGCGTGTGCTCAGAAATTATCATTTTCAAAGGTGCGCTGTAAACACTTGCATGTGCACAATTCTGAATCATGGAAATGCAAGAACTTATCATTGGAAAGGGCAATTTTCTAAAACTTATGAGAAAACTTTATTAAATATTGTATTTATATGTAAAACCCATAACAACTAAATGGTAACTAAACTTTGAGATAATAGCTAATAGTTCAGTGATAGAGTTTATTTGGTATTTATTCTGATTGATTAAATGGTAAAATTTCAAAAATGCAAAAGGCAAAGTAATCAAATTAGAGAGGCAACACCCATGCACTGCTTTTTTTTTGTTCTTAATGAAATACTATACATGCAACACCCATATTTTAGTAGGTAAGCATGTAGATCCAACTTATTTCTCCAATCTTTTTTTTGTCATATTCTTCATATGCCCACTGAAACATGCTGTGATAGGCCTTATTGGTTGTCTATGCAATATTTTTCTTGTCCTCTCTCTTCCTTGCCTGTCATTGCTATAGAAACTAGGAATTCTATGTACATACTTTCCAAATCTTCCTTGCAGCCAGGAGTGGCCCCCTGACCTAGATTGGGCTAATAATAAATAAGAAAAATATTTCTAGGAGGTGTCTGGGATTTTATTTTGTGATAAAATCCCTACTTTCTTCTTACTTTGTATATTGTTAAATAACATCATGATGTTTGATAGTGCAGCAGTCATCTTACAAACATGAGGGGGGATATAGACAATATCAAAGATAACTCAGCAGGACTGTAAGAGCTTGGGTCTTGATGGCATTGTTAAGCCACTAAATCAATCATAGAGACATTCTTTTTAGGAATTTTGTTAAGAAAACAATAATATATTATAATTTAAGCTGTTGTCAATGGGGATTTCTGTTACTTTTTAAAAATAATTTTTTATTTTTATTTTTCAATTATAGTTGGCATACAATATTATAATAGATTCAGGTGTACAACATGGTGATTAGACATTTATATAACTTAAAGAGTGATCACCCTGATCAATCCAGTACCCATCTGACACCATATATAGTTATTACAATATTATTGTGACTATATTCCTTATGCTGTACTTTACATCTCCATGACTATTTTGTAACCACCAATTTGTACTTCTTAATCCCTTCCCCTTTTTTCACCCACACCTCAACCACCCCTCCTGTCTGGCAACCATCAAAATTTTTGTATATATAAGTCTGTTTCTGTTTGGTTTATTTTGTTCTTTAAATTCCACATGTAAGTGAAATCATATGGTGTTTATCTTTCTCTGGTTGACTTCAGTGCAATATCCTCTAGGTCCATCCATGTTGTTGCAGATAAGATTTCATTCTTGTTTATGACTGAGTAATATTTCTTTATATATACATGTACTGCCTTTTCTTTATCTATTCATTCATTTGTAAACACACATATTGCCTCCATATTTTGGATATTGTAAATAATGCTGCAATGAACATATGGAGTCACACCTCCCTTTGAAGTAGTATTTTGGGTTTGTTTGGATAAATCCCCAGAAGTGAGATTACTGGGTCATTCTTTGTCACTTGTTATAGTTTCTGTTTTACAGTCTATTTTGTCTGGTACAAATATTGCTAAGCTAGCTTTTATTTTGTTTTGTTTTGTTTACATTTTCATTAAATATCTTCTTTCATCCCTTTACTTTCACTCTGTGTGTGCATTTCTATCTGAAGTGAGTCTCTTGTAGACAGCATATATAAGAGTTTTGTTTTCTTATCCATTCAGCCATCCTATGTCTTTTGATTTGTGCATTTACTCTATTTATATGGGAGAAAATTGAACTTTGGGTGGTAATTACACAATCCAATATACATATGATGTATTATTGAATTGTATGCTTAAAACCTATATAATTTTGTTAACTAATGAAACCCCAATAAGTTTAATAAAAATAAAATAATTGTTGATAGATAAATAGTTATTGCCATTTTATTATTTATATTTTTAATCTTTTCTTTTCTTCTTAAAAAAATCCCTCTAAAATTTCTTATAATACTGCTTTGGTGGAGATGAACTTTTTTAGCTTTTCCTCTCTGGAGGCTCTTTATCTGTTCTTCAATTCTACATGATAGCTTTGCTGGGTATAGTAATCATGGTAGTATATCCTTGCTTTTCATTGTTTTGAATATTTCTTGCCAATCCTTTCTGTCCTGCAAAATTTCTGTTGAGAAATCAGCTGATAGTTTTATGGGAAATCCATTATAGGTGGCTATCTGCTTTTCTCTTTCTGCTTTTAAAATTCTCTCTTTGTCTTTTTAAACTTTGACATTTTAATTATGATGTGTCTCGCTGTGGGCCTCTCTAAGTTCATGTTGCTTGAGACTCTCTGTGCTTCTTGGGCTTGTATATATATATTTCCTCCACCTGGTTAAGAAAGTTTTCCATCATTATTTCTAAAATAGGTTTTCAATTTCTTGCTCTCTCTTTTCTCCTTCTGAAATCCCTAGGATGTGAATGTTGGTACACTTTATGTTGTCTCAGAGTCCCTTAAACTATCCTCATTTATTTTTTATTTTTTATTTTTTACTTTTTTGCTGTTCTGTTGGGTGTTTTTCACTACCTTATTATTCAAATCACTGATCTGAGCCTTTGCTTAATCTAATCTACTGTTGATTCCTTGATATATTTTTTACTTTAGTTATTGTATTTTTATTTCTAACTCTTTTTTTTATGTTTTCTATCTCCATTTTTTATGTTTTGTATCTCTTTGTTAAAGTTCCCACTGAGTTCATCTACTCTTCCTCTTAGTTCATTGAGCATTCTTACAACCAGCATTTTGAACTCTACATCTGGTAGATTGCTTGTCTCCATTTTGTTTAGTTCTTTTTCTAGAGCTTCATTATATACTTTCATTTGGAACATGTTGTTGTTGCTGTTGCTGTTGTTGTTGTTATTGTTGTTGTTGTTGCCCCATTGTGGCTGCCTCCCTGTGTTTGTTTCTATGTATTAGGTAGGGCTGCTATGTCTCCCAATCTTAGTAGAGTAGCCTTATGTAGTAGGTGTTCTATGGAGCCTAGTGGTTTGGTCTCCCAGGACCCCTGAACTGAGTGCTCTAGGTGTGTCCCTGTTGGGTTATGTGTGCTTTCCTGTTGTAGTTGAGCTTTGATTGCTATTTGCATGTCAGTGGGAGGGATTGACCCTTAGGCTGATTGGCTGTGAGGATTGGCCAATGAGAGGCTGACCCTATTGAACGGGATTTACTTTCACATGGCTCTGATTCCTGTTCAGTCTGTCCTTTGGGTGCGTTGTCCTCAAATGCAGCCTTGGATGGTACTCCAACTGCCCAAAGCCATCCATCAGACATGTTGACTGTGGAACCTCTTGGGAGGGGCCCTACCATAGGCCAAGTTCAGCTGCAACCTGTGGCCTACCTAAGGCCACTTGTCAAGAGGCTCCAAGCAATCCACAGATGGCTGCCACTCACGCTGGACTTGGAGGTGCCTCGAGAGGCCAAGTTGCAAACCGAGGTTAGCAGCTACTAGTGCTGGGCTTGGAGCTGCTCAGCAAGAGATACAGGACACTCCAAGGCCAGATGTTGCTTGTTTCGGTTGTGTGAACCTTTTGGAGATTTTATGAAAGTCCATAGCATGAGTGAAGACATGCTATTTTTATGGAAAAACCACTGGAAGTGGCTTGGGTGGGCCTGCAAGTTGGGAGGGTCAGGGTCTCAGGGAATCATCAGGGGTGACCAGTATTATCAGGATTGATGGAGACTCAGATATGGCTGTCACATGCTGAGAGTGGGGAGTGGGGAGAGCTCAACAGAGAAAGCTGCTCCTTCAGCCTTTGCCCGAAGCCAGACAATTCAGTATCTCCCATATGCCCCTGGAGCCTTTTGAGCTGTTGCCATAGAGCTGGAGCTCAGAGAGAGTGAGTCTCTCAGTGAGTAAGTCTATGCAGACTCCTTAATAGGAATGTCTGTTATTCACTCAGCCCTCTATCTCATTCAGTCACAATGTCTGTTGAATTTCACAACCAGAAATTGTGGGGACTTCTCAGCACTGGAACCCTGAGCTGGGGAGCCTGGTATGAGGCTGGGATCCCTCACTCCTTTGAGGGGATCTCTGCAGCTGAGATATATCTTTCTATTCTCAACTGTGGGGCCAACATGTTTTACATCTCCACCTTTTCTATAAATCTCAAGGTGGCCTCTTCAGTATATCCCCAGTTGTAGGACTTCTATTTAGACTACAGGTTATTTCCAATGATGGCTGTTCTGTAGTTTGGTTGTAATTTTGATATTGTTGTGAGAAGAGGTGAGCACAGCATTTACCTATTTAACCATTTTGACTGAAACTCTGTTACTTTTTTTAGAAAATAATAACTTATCCAACCCTCCATGCCAATTTAGGACTTTGTGCTCTTTTTTAGTGTCTGTTCTTTTGTCTAAAATAGTATTCTTTTCTCTGTTTTTGTATCATTTCTTTTTAATAAAGAACCAGATAAAATATCAATTGTTCTGTGAAACCTTTCTTTGTGATTGAGAGTGAGTTCTAGCCAATAATATTGAGGGAAGTCTTCTGGGAAAGGTTTTCACATTCTTAAGTAGGAATCACCAGTAAAGACAGTCCACTTTCACCTCTTAGAAACATTCATATCTTGTTGCCATGCTCAAAAGCAATGCAAAAACTATCTTGTTACCATGAAGAGGGGCAGACAAAAGGCAAAGTTAAACAACTAAGGTGGCAGAACTTAGAGATAGAAGTTAGGTTATTTAAGACACTGGTGATCTCCTGAATTAACCAACAATAAAATTTATTCTTTCTCTAAACATTCTTCTATGTAACATAATAAATGCCATGGTTGCATAAACTTATTTGAATTAGGAGTTTCTAATATTCACAGCTAACTAATAGAAAATATAAAGGTGGCAAATGATGAAAATAAACAGGAAAAAGTCCTTTGAATCTATTAAAACAAGTTAGTCTAGTTAGTTTCAGTATAACTGGAATGTCCATTCAAGAGCACATAAATAGAACACAAAAATTATTATTGTTTATTATTTGTAGGTTAAAGTTTTCACTAATGATGCATTGTTTTTAGGACATGTACATTTTGCATTAGCAGTGGGAAGTTTGCTTTAATGTCATCATCTGAATTCCTTTTATGTCTATCTGAAAGATAGCTGGCCAATAGTAGAGATATTGTCTGTATTTCCTCCCATTCACTTGGTTGCTACTTCATTCTATTCCAGATTTTTTTTTTTAAGATTACATTTATGGCGAAGGTTGAAACTGCAATTAAGTATAGGCTTAGTATTATGGGCTTTAGCACAAGTGACTCACATTTGAGCCTGTGGTTTTCTCCTTAACAAATTCCCAACTTAGATCAAACTCTCAGATTAACTGAAGGGTATGATAAAAAAAAATAAGGCATTTGCAACACTTTTAACTACCACTCTGCAGCTCTGCTAATCCTTAGTGTGGCATGAAGTTTTTCCTTAATCTCCATGACATTTACAGGTCATGTTTCCAGGTTAATAATCCTCATATAAATCATTCTCTTGTTTCCTTTTTGATAATCCAGTCTTAGGGAAAGCATTTGCTTGGCAGTTTGCAGCTGCAACATGCATTTAAAGCTTTGAGAGACTACTTTTCTAAGGAGATTATTATGAAAACTGCAAGCAGGATAATTCCAAATATTTGGCGTTTGTTGTTTTTCAGTTTTATACCCCCACATATAAGTGATATCATGTGGTTTTCAACTTTTTCTGTCTGGCTTATTTCATTTAGTATGATTATCTCAAGGTTGACCCGTGTTGTCACAAATGGCAGTATTTCATCTCTTCCTATGACTGAGTAATATTCCATTGTATATATGTCCAAAATCTTCTTTACCCAATCGCATATTGTAGGACACTTCAGTTGCTTCCACATCCAGGCCACTGTGAATACTGCTGCTATGAACATTGGTGTGCAAATATCTTTTCAGGTATATGTTTTCAAGACTTGTGGATAAATACACAGTAGAGGGATTGCTGGATCATATGGTAAATCAATTCAAAAGGAACCTCCATACTGTTTTCTATAGTGGCTGTACCAATTTGCAGACCACCAGCAGTGTATGAGAGATCCTTTTTCTCCACATCCTATCCAACACTTGTTATTACTTGTCCTGTTGATTATAGCTATTCTAACAGGTGTGAGATGATATCTCATTGTGGTTTTGGTTTGCATTTCCCTAACAGCTAGTGATGTTGAGCATCTTTTCAAATGTTTGTTGGCCATTTGTATGTCTTTTTGGGACAAGTGTCTGTTCAGTTTCTCTGCCCATTTATTGACTGGATTGTTTGTGTTTTTTGTTGTTGTTATTAAATTGTATGAGTTCTTTGTATATTTTGGATATTGGGCCCTTATCAGAGGTGTTGCTTGCAAATATATATTCCCATTCGGATGGCTGTCTCTTTACTTTGTTGACGGCTTCTCACACTGTGCAGAGCTTTTTAGTTTGATGTAGTCCTATTCATTTATTTTTGCTATTACATCCCTTGCTGTTGAGGTCAAATTCTTAAAATCCTCTTTAAGTCCAAGGTCCATGAAATTAGTTCCTATGTTATCGTCTATGCATTTTATGTTTTTAGGTCTTATATTCAGGTTCTTAATCAATTTTGACTCAATTTTGGTGTGTGGTGATAGACAATAGTCTAGTTTCATTCTTTTGAAGACAATTTTCCAGTATTCCCAGCACCATTTCTTGAAGTTAGGTTTCCTTTCTCCACTGTATCTTTTTCGCTCCTTTGTCAAAATTATTTGCACGTACTAATATGGTTTTGCTTCTGAAATCTCAATTCTGTTACACTGGTCTGTGTGTCTGTTTTCCTGCCAATATCATGCAGTTTTATTATTGCCACTTTGCAGTACAATTTGAAGTCATGCAGAATGATACCTCTAGCCTTCTTCTTTTTTCTCAGAATGGCCATGGTGAATGGTTTATGTATGTATGTATGCATGTATGTATGTATATATTTTTTGTTTCCATACAAATCTGATGATTTTTTGTTCTATTTCATTAAAAAATGCTGAAGAGATTTTGATGGGGATTGTATTAAATGTGTATAATGCTTTAGACAATAAGGTCATTTTAACTATGTTGATTTTTCCAATCCAGTAACACGGAACACCTTTTCACTTCTTTGTGTGTTCTTTGATTTATTTTAATACGGTCTTACAATTTTCATAATACAGGTCATTCGCATGTTTTGTTAGATTTATTATTAGATGTTTTATTAGTTTTGTTGCATTTGCAAAAGGAATTATTTTATTTATTTTTAATTAATTAATTAATTAATATTCTTAATTAAGTTTATTGCAGTAACATTGGTTAATACAATGATATAATTTTAAAGTGTACATTATAATTTGGCATTTGTATATCCTATTGTGTGTTTAAAACCCCAAATCCAGTTTCCTTTAGTTACCATATATTTGATCTCCTTTAACACTTCACCCTCCCCCTTCCCCCTATATTTCACATCTTTTATTACATCTACCTACCTCCTCCTCTCCTACCCCACTAGTAACCATTAGTCTATAGTCCTCTGTCAACCACTAGTCTGTAGTCCATGTCCATGAGTCTCTGCGTGTTTGTCCTGCTCATTTGTTGCTTTTAGGTTTATATCTCACATATAAATGATATCATGTGATATCATGTGGTTTCCAACATTTTCTGTTTGGCTTATTTCGCTTAGAATGATTACCTTGAGGATGATCCATTTTGTCGCATATGGTAGTATTTCATCTCTTCTTATGGCTGAGTAATATTCCATTGTGTGTGTGTGTGTGTGTGTATATATATTTATATATATATATACATACATAT